AAAGAAAGTGAACTCGAATCTTGTGAAATTGTTAAACATGAATGCTATTAACAAAGATGAGTTTAATTTATTAAAACCTATGGGTTCGGCATATCCTAATTTATATGGATTACCGAAAATTCATAAGCCTAATACCCCCCTACGTCCAATTCTATCTATGTGTCGGTCACCTACACACAACCTGACAAAATGGCTTACAAAATTATTAAACCCTATCAGAAATCAATATTGTAAGTATTCTTTGACTGACTCATTCGAATTAATCAATTACTTAAAGGATATAAATATAAAGACAAAGACAATGTGCTCCTTTGATGTAAACACTTTATTTACAAATGTACCTCTTAGGAAAACCATTGATATTTTGTGTGACTTTATTTCTTCGGAAAACCTTCCACTACCTTTTCCTGTTGAAACTCTTAAAGATTTATTATTATGTACAGACAATGTAAAATTCACATTTGAAGGTGAACACTTCAGACAAATAGATGGTGTAGCTATGGGCAGCCCTCTAGGACCATTGCTAGCTGATGTGTTCATGGGGTATGTGGAAAATTTAGTTGGAGACTCAATTCGAAAGATGAGTCTGTATAAACGATATGTAGACGACATAATAATCATAGGTGATAAAATTGAAGACATAAGCCACTTGTTAGAAGAATGCAATAGTAGTCAAAACCACATTTCTCTTACATGTGAAGAAGAGAAGAACAACCAACTTCCTTTTCTTGACATCCTGATTACTAGGAGAGATGATGGTTCCATCAAACGTGCTACATATAGAAAACCAACATGGACAGGACAATATCTTAATTTTCATAGTCACTGCCCTATTCATTATAAACGTGGTTTAATAAAGAGCTTATTCAATAGAATCAATCGTATTTGTACTAGTGATACTATTGAAGTAGAGATGAAGCTCCTGACTGATGCGTTATTCAATAATGGTTACCCTTTGAAGTTCATAAACCACTGGAAGGGTTGCAATATGACTAGACCTATGATGCTTCTGGCACCCAAAAACCGAGTTTATATTACGCTACCATTCAGAGGTGACACAAATAGTCTCATGTTGAAACAGAGACTTAAATTAGCTATCAACCGGACATTTTATGCAGCCCAACTTGTCATTATCGAAAAGACAAGGTCTATGTTTCACCAAAAGCCCAAACAGCATGAAAACGATTGTGTCACATCCCATTGTGTCTATAAATTTACAAGTATGTGTGGAAACACGTACGTAGGGAGGAGCAATCGTGATTTGCAATTAAGGGTGGGTGAACATATACCAAAATGGTTGCAAAATCAGATGAATTCCAATGGTGAAATAAGACCACAGGATAGACAGACATCATCATCCATTGGGAAACATTTGATTGAGACGGGTCATAAGGTTGATATCAAATCATCATTTGTTGTGTTGTACAAAAGCCTTCAAGGACGTATACTAAGGTTTATTGAAGCCTTGGCTATACGAAAATTGAAACCCCCTTTATGTGTTCAAAAACAATTTGTACTTACACTTAACCTACCCTGGTAGTACTGATTTACTGTCCAGAGTGGTAATCACATTTGTTTTTGTGTACTTTAATATTTTTCCTTTGTTATGACTTACCCTTAACCTGTCTAGTTGACCTTTTAATTTTTCATATATAAATGTTCTTAACCAGTATATGTGTGATCAGATTGTTCGAAATGTATTGCGCAAATATATCACATAATTCTGATAAACTACGTCTTCTCATTGCATTATCGAAATTTATTACATGTAATTATATAATCCATTTCATTGTTATCGTTCACTCAATAAACTAACTCGGTTGGTTTAATATTTGTAATACTATACATATAAATATTAATGTATATCGAAGTGTTATGAATATTCAATTAAAAACAATGATTTCAATCTGTGAAAATTTCTAAAAATCTCCACAAAACACATTCTGATAATAATAATCACCTGCTCACTAGTGACTGACTTCAGGAGACACTTCTGGAGTTCTAGTGAGAAGTCGTTACCAGTGGAGTTCAACCAGGTCTGTTGTGAGATAGGAACTCACTGAAGACAATGGTGTACGGTAGCGCAACTTCGTGGATTGGTTGAAGTTAGACATTAACACCGTTGGATGCCGGCTCAGTGGTCTAGTGGTTAAGTGCTCGCGCGCGAAGCCAGTAGGTCCTGGGTTCGAGCCCCGGGTGGCGCGGGTTCGTGGATGCGCACTGCTGAGGAGTCCCATACCAGGACGAAACGGCCGTCCAGTGCTTCCAGGTTTTCAATGGTGGTCTAGCTTCAACTGACTCATGATTTCAATCTGTGAAAATTTCTAAAAATCTCCACAAAACACATTCTGATAAAAACAATATTGTTCGCTTATATGTGTTGTTCTAATTTTTACAAGGGGAATTTTTAGTAGTTTAGAATCTCAGAATATAATACAAATTATAATAGACAATTACTACCACAATGAAAGAAAAAGGTTATTTTAGTTAAACCATGATTATCGCTTATATATCCCGACGAGAATTATGAATGACAACTTTTGAGAACTATTTGTGGACGAATACGATATATATGTATTCATTGTATAATTGTTGAGTAGCTAAACTGTCCATATTCGTGTTCCGCTTATTATAAGCTTTATTTTAGCCCATAGATTATTAGTATGAGATTTACTGTTCTTGAGTTATGCTCAGTCTATTAATTACAGTCTCCCACATTCACAGCCACTTTTGGCTAGATCTTGTACAGGTGTCTTTTTTTCTATCTTGTGGTCCCGTATGGTCTGTTTGGTTTGTACATAAACACAGTATGTTTGAAATACATGATGCATATAGCGAAGGCTGAAATCGGTGTTCTGAACTTAACAGGAAGGGCTAGGCAGGAAGAAGGGCCGATAAAGACTCTGAACTGCTCGTACGGGTTTTGTGTCATTGGTCCAGTCGATAAGTCAGTTCACTAATTGGCGGTATCATTACTTCATATATTGATAGGAGCACAAGTTATAACACTTTCATAAGTTTATAATCATTTAATCGATCTAATTTGGAATCAAACTACTAGACCATAACAGAAGCTTTTAGAAGAAATAAATGATTATTAATATGACTCGCAGTGAATTTAAGATTTCCTCATTACATATTGACGTTGACTTTTGTAGAGATAAATTAAAAAGTAAATGTTGATTAGATGTACACAATTATTTATGTTAATTTGTTATTCTTAGTTAACTGATATATTATTATCGTAATCTAAAGTTTGCATTACTTGGAATCTATTAATGCCGATATAGTGATTTTAACTCATAACAATCCGTTTACATACATTCATTTAAATTTGCATATCATGAGACTTCTACACTGATCTGATAACTATCCAAATTAGGGAAAACTACTTTGTTACTTCACTGTTGGGATATTCAGAAAAATATCCCAAAAATTATCCTGTTAAGTCTAATGCTATCCTTGGACTTGAAATGGTATCATTTTCCTACTGGTCAATATTTATTTCACGTGTCATTTTCCTGTTGGCCAAATATTGTACAAATGTTATTTTCTATTTTATGGTTCGTTGTGGTCTGTCTGGTTGATAATATAAACCGAGTGTGTTTGAAATACATGATTCATATCGCAGAGGCTTAGACTTGTGTTCTGAATCTAACTGGCTGGGCTAGGCGGAAAGCAGGGCCAATCAGAACTCTAGGCTGCTGATACGGGTTTACGCGTCATTGTTTCTGTTAGGACAGTCGGAAAAATATACCAATAATTATCGTGTTAAGTCTATGGTGGCCTTGGACCTTAAATGTACACTCCCTATTGGTCGATATTTGTTTCACTTGTTAAATATTGTGTAAATGTTGTTTTCTATTTTACGGTACGATGTGGTTTGTTTGTTTGGTATATAAATAGAGTATGTCTGAAATATAATGATTCATAACTCAGAGGCTGTGACTTGCGTTCTAGGCTCAACTGGCTGGGCTAGACAGGGAAGTGGGACCAATCAGGGCACTAGGTCGTTCACTACGTGTATTCCGTGTCACTGTTACCGGTCGATAAATACACTGCTTATCAAAACCTGCAGTCCACACGTTACAACAGTTTCGATCGATAATTCACTGCACATTAATCGGCAGTCACAAGTTATAACATTCGCATACTTCATAGATAGCATAATTAAAGTGTTATATTGGTAAATGTAATCATAGTTCCAATTACTAATGGGAAAATCGAGTAAAAAATAAACACCCATAAATTAACGGAGCTAGATAGAGGAAATGATAGCAGACAATCAAAAAACCCATAAAATGTCAATCAATTCGTCATAGCTCTTATTAAAGGTAACTATTTGTATTTTTAAAAAAGCCTAGAAGGTATTCGGATGAAAAGATTAATGACAAAATCTCTTAACTGGAGCAGCTATAATAAATGTATAAGCATACAAGCCTGAGTTTCTCATTGTATCAGATAAGCAAAAATTCAAGAGTTTATGATTGAATATCTCATTGATTAAAAATACCGTTACCTCGTTGACTGACATTGGTCCATCCCTCGAATTACTGTGTGGGTAAAAGACTAAAAATTACGATTTCTAATGTAAGAATATATGAAGATAGATGTGATAATTATTTTTTTACTGAGTAATTTAGAACAAACTATAACCACACCAACTAGTAAAGAAATAATATACCTTCGAAATGTCTTGAAAACAAAGTGATAAATTCCTTGATGAATAGTTTTTATACTCTATATACAATACAGGTTACTTTTCTAAAACAAATAAAAAACCTATTTTCCCATTGAATAGTCATGTCTATTGTTAACATAGCGATCTTAAATTTATCCTCTTTCCCAATAGATAGAAAAAACTACTCGAACCGAATGAGTTTGAACTAATGCTAAACTAATATTGTTGTTTGTTTGGTGTTGTTTTTCATTCAGTGAAAATTCAAATTTAAACACATTAAAGTTTAGAAACAGTGATGACGGCCACAACAACAACATCATCAGAGAAAACATAATGTTGTATTTTTTCCAATTATCACAGATTGATAAAACAAAATTATACAAAAATAAACTGGTATTATGGTTAAAAATAATGAAAAAAGAGAATTAGAAATTAGTTGCACAAATAATGATGATTAATAATGATCAATTCATAGAAGTGGAGAAATAGAAAGAATAAGGGCTTTCAAAGATAAATAAGTTTGAAGAAAAGAATATTGACATTATGAATAAAAAAATTCAGCTGTAAATTATATGAAGTATTCGATCATTTTTTTCTTTACGGAGTATTGCAATCAAAGTAAATAATAATATACAGTACAGATAACAATAGAGCTCATTTATCATATACAAGTTGATGTACTCACCAGCCTTGAGCCCGATATAATTTATGTAAGGATTAGTGACACTACATGCCTGCTCAAATCGAAGTAAGGGTGAGGTGAAGTTTGAGTCGGTGACCTATTCGGATGGAAGACAAGTGGTCTAGCCACTAAACTACCGTTTCGCTTCAAAAGCTGGATGAACAGCATGAAAGAATGATGAATTTAATTCATTTCAATCAAATGATTCAATTCTGAACACCAATTGCTTTGCATAATGCATTCAGTTAACCAACTATCTTTAATGAAATGTGGTATACGAGGAAATTGACGAATCCAAGAGTTTAATGTTGAATAATTCTCGTTTAACCAAATATTAAACTCTTTTTCTTGGGAAGACGATAACTACGTGTTGGAAAAAAAGGGAGAAACATTTAGTTGAGTATTTTAAACATCTCATGAAAAACATAAGCTAAATAAAATGATGTCAATCCGAGCACACGATATATATATCAAATAATAAGTGGATAATCGGATATAATACTGTGGTGTGCTACTTATATTGACATAAGTAGTATATGATGTTAGTCATGAACAGAAGGTATGGCAGCAGAGAGACAAGAAGATCGAACAGCAAAGAATGGAAACAGGAAGCATTTTGAGACAATTGGTGGGCATTTTGCAAATTAAGCATTTACTTTATGATTGTTAGATTTTATTAACAAGTCCTGTGATTTTGTGTTAAATTCATTCGATTGACCCCACCCATGTTCTGTTCACTATAATACTATTAAACTATATCGATTTCAGTTAACACTAAGGACTGCTTCATGAAATCGATTACTAATCATCTTGACGCTTCCAATGGCACATTGTTAGAGAATTACGATAAACCCAGTTAGTGTACATTCAAAGAATCTTATAACCGGATTTTTAGTCTTTATTGGATACTATGCAGCTTTGCATTTACACCCATGATTAACTCATTTTTACTTAATAAGGAACTTAACGTTACGTTGCATGAATCGCACTGCTAATCGCATGAGCGAATTTTCTTCAATTAGGAATATCAATCAAGTATTTTGTTAGTAATTCCATATTGTTATGTACATTCAGTCAGGATTTAATAATCAATTCCTTGACTACTTATTTACACAACTGATTTCGCCCAGTATTAATTCATAATAATAATCAACTTGGGATTTTTTTCAAACCAATAAACAGTTTTGTAATAAAACACATAATCATTAAAAAAAAGTCACAGAACAATAAATATTGGTAATTTACCACTACAACATGCGTTGGATTGATACAATTATTACTTAACGATCGCATACAATCATTCGTATGTGAATCGACAGATAAAAAATTATGATAGGTCATATTCAACAAAGACTGTAAATTAGATACAGACTCCAGTTTATAAATACCAATAGGTCCTATACACATTGAACCAAGTCTACGTAGATCAATAATCATTAATTGTTGATGAATTTCCAAACTAGTCAGTACAGTCTTCTTTTCATCATTTTCTAAACTGAACAATGGACGTATAAGTACTAGAATATAACCCGTCAAAGGATGTAACACTTCCATATCATTTGGAAATTCGTCTAATAAAAGTTTTAACTTTGAATAATGACTGAGTTTTGGAACCTGAAGAAAATAAGAAGAATATTGTTCGAATAATGATGAGACAATCCAAAATGAATTTGAAATAGTGATAATAGATTGCTTAAACAAAGTGACATATAATTGTAGAAAAGAACCTAGTCATTGATAGACTATACTAGGACGACACAGAAGTTCAGTCCTTCTAGGTTTTCAATGGTGGTCTAACAAAGTTTAGTTTCTGATCTAAACTGTGAGAACATACATGTTTATTGGACGATATAAATCATTAGAAAAGTATCACAATACTTACTCATAACAAAACAGAACTTTAATGATAAAAACAGCTCAATTAAAAGATGGGTGTTGTACTCTAGAACTATAACTCACTTAAAAGTTCCTCGTGAATAGATTCACTAAAATTAGAATATTTGAAAATCTACAAGTGACGTTAGACTATTATCATAACTCTAATATAGCTATATTTATCATTGTTTCATCTCTTGAGTGCATTATTTGGAACATAAGAATTGGCTTTAAAAAATAATACGTAATGCAGGATAACTAAATAAACGATATCCTCAGCAAATATTTCTAAAAACTAGTCAAACAAAATGGTAACAATGATTGTTTTCTAAAGCTTCGTTGATAATTAATTATCCAGTAATTATTATTTATCACAAGTTAACGAATTATCACACAATATAACCTTTGTCGCTTGAACAGTAAGTACTACTAAATACTACTGAATTTATAGAACATACATTATTCTGTGGATTTTTTACTACCTTTTGGCTGCCTTTTAGATGCAGACAGGAAGATAACTAGTTGTGACGAGGATTTTGATGGAGCTTTGTTCCCTAAGCTGGATGGTTTAGTCGTGGAGTTTTTATCGTTCTCCTGAACGACATCATCAGCACAAACTTCAGATAGAAGTGAAGTGGTCCTCCACCTGCCGAGGACTGTATGATAAATATTTATAGATTAACTTGACATCTATATGAGTAAAATATTTATTCACACTACAACGTGTATTCAGAATTGAATCATCCTGTAAAGTGTGTTGGATTATGTAGAATAGTATTAAAGCAACTATTAAGACCAATAAATAGTTGCCTGGACACAATTATAGTTTACGTAAATGAAGTAAAGTGAAAAAAGAAGTCAATCAACTTACTGTTAACTTTGGTATATCCCTCTTCTCTTCTGTAACTGATTCAAAGCATGAAATATCATTAAAGATTAATTTCAATTCATCAGATGTAATGGGCTCACTATAACTATCACCAAATTTGTCATATTCTTGAGCCATTTTAGCAGCGACAGATGAATTCATTGCAAACATATCTTTTGGTTTCCATGCTAACAGAGACTTCTTATTGATGCAAGCAAGTAACCAGTTCAAGTGAACTACATTGTATTCAATAGATGAAGAGCGTTTTTTTGAAGTACTGGAATAGTTTAGTAAGTTTTTTGTCTGAAGTAATAAAATGTAATCAGAATTCATGAAAAACAACCTTAAGAACTTTAATAGTGAAAATATAATATGAGTAATAAGTACAGTAGTTTTTTAATGATCACAGTGCTTCCAGGCACTGATTTTGCAGATTGAAGACCAGATTCATGGATCTTGCTCTGGGCAGTATGACGGTATCCCTAGTTATCACAAAATAATACTAATGACATCTCGAGTGTATAGACTTGGAATAATAATAATAATAATAATAATAATAATAATAATAATAATAATAATAATAATAATAATAATAATAATGTATATTCCGAAAGTGTTTACAGATTTCATCCTATTTTCAGGAAAATTCGAGTTGGTAGATTTTGTATTTGGTTAAGGGAATACATTAACTTATTTCATTTAACTTATTCACGGAGTAATGAAGAAAGTCAACCACAAAACAGTGTACATAAAAAGGAAAACTAGATTGGTAAACAGATATAAAAACTGAATAATCCAGTAAGAATATTTGCTTAGGTAACTAGATGAAAACATAACTCTGATACAATATTCCAAATAATTTCTAGTCAGTAAACCGAAAATCTCTTTATCGATGAATTTCAATTTCAAATCAACGATTTTTAGACAAGTACTAAGGGAATAAACTATGAAAAAAACTTTAGTAAACTAGCCGTTCATTTTTCTAAGTTGCCAATAAAAAAAACTAAATATTCTGACCAAGTCAGACCTGTTTATGATTGATCGCATCTAATACTCTTGTTTTGTTCGTTCGTACTATTTAAACTTGGATTAATTTAATTTGAATGCTTATTCTCTGAAGAGGTGGCTTACACTGAGTCACGAAACATCAGAAAATCTAATTTTTCCACTCATTGACCATTTATTTAGTTATCAATAGAAAAATTAGATATTCAATAGGTTAAATTAAAACTAAAAATGTTTACAAATTGAAAACATATTTCACCTTTACCTTTAATGTAAGTTTATCAACAACAATACAAAAAGTACTTTCAGATGGATTTTGTACAACAACACCACCATAGTGACGGATAATAGTTTCATATTCTATTTTTTTATTCAATTCAATATCATTTGATAACCAAAGGCATATTTCATGATTTCCAAAATAGTTTAACTAAAATAAACAATGATTCATTTGTTATACACAATTCTTTATACTATTCAAGGAAGTTAGTTAACAATAGGCAATATATACTACGAAGTACATGTTGTGGGGTACTATTTTATCTAGAAGTTGGACTCACTTAAAACATTTTTTCAAACAATAGCATACTATGAAATTTGGCGACTAGATAAACAACACCATGTTATAAACTGAAAGTTAAAAGTAGTTCATGAAAGCAATCGACATAATTTGGTTACTCAAAGCTTATTACATGGAGAAAGGTCAAAACTGGTAACAGATTTAAATTGCAGTGATAGAATTTATAAGGTAAGTAAAACAAAATAGAAAGAGACACGAGTTTCTTATATCGATATTTCAAAAGCTTGATTACAATTATAAATTATAACCAGGTGATGAATCACATACAAACAGAAATCATAGAGTAAATAATTCAGTCGAGAATTTTTAAATGACTCCTGATAACAGATTCATGTTGACATAGTTAACTAGAACACAATTCTTAACTCCTAATGTTCAACAACTAGTGACAGAATACATTTTGTCCTTGTTCTTAAGTGTTATCATACATGCTCAGAGAACACATTCACTAAAAGATTATCGATCAATGAAGTTGTGGACATATTCAACAAGAAAATATAGTCACTTTGTGTATACTGGTAAATTAAACCAACTGCTCTTTTTTTTCTTTTTTGAACCTACTTCAATAGATCCTAATTTATTCACGATGCATTTAAATAAACCGTAAAAACCTATAAACTATTATTCAGTTCCATTATGTCAATTATAATATTTTTCAACAGTGTACTTACATTCACACAATGGTTACTAAATAAATTCATGTTACCTAGTCTAAAATAACCCCGCTTTATTGTTACTCGACATTCCAGTGAACATCACTTAATGTTAAAATAGTTAAGGAAATTCGTTAAGTAATACTGACAATATTCATTTTAGAAAAAGGGTCAAGAAATTGGACGAGTTAGAGATGATGAAAAAACACCATAAAGTACACATAAAATAATAACGCTGAGTATACAATTCAAAAAAAGCACAACATACATGTTCATGATAAATATCAATTTTACGTTGTTTAATAGGTGAAGATGTTGCTAAAGGTTCATCAATATTTATAAACGATTCAGTTGTCTGTTGTTCTGTGGTTTCATTTAATGTATGATACCCACTACTTTGATTTGTGTTTGAACAACTATTATTCAAATTACTTATATCTGGAAAGAAGTGTTGATGTTGGACATCTGCAAGTCCAGAAAATGTTGGCACGATTGACAATCGCTTTGTGGCTAATTTACCCTAATAACCAGAAAATGAAAAAAATCATAAATGTTAAAGATATTGTTGGGATATTCAGAAAAATATCTCAAAAATTATCCTGTTAAGTCTAATGCTATCCTTGGACTTGAAATGGTATCATTTTCCTACTGGTCAATATTTATTTCACGTGTCATTTTCCTGTTGGCCAAATATTGTACAAATGTTATTTTCTATTTTATGGTTCGTTGTGGTCTGTCTGGTTGATAATATAAACCGAGTGTGTTTGAAATACATGATTCATATCGCAGAGGCTTAGACTTGTGTTCTGAATCTAACTGGCTGGGCTAGGCGGAAAGCAGGGCCAATCAGAACTCTAGGCTGCTGATACGGGTTTACGCGTCATTGTTTCGATCGATAATTCACTGCACGTTAATCGGCGGTCACAAGAAATAACAGATATATTGATAAGATATGAAAAATGGAATTTAAATAGAAGTTCAAATATCATTGAGTAACTCCTAATCAAAGTAAAGAGATAGTCAGTGTACGACAATCAATCAATTGTAAATACATCTCAGTCCTACTGGAAGTCAGTTGCTGCCCGGATAGTACACTGACAACGCCTCTGACTGTGAAGCTGGGTGACACAGGATCGAATCCATCAGGAAGCATCCGTCTACTCAATATTACAGATACACCTTTCTGACGAGTGCTAAATAACACGAAACCTGAGTACAGGGATTTTTCAGCTGTCTCAAACCGTTACCTTACGGCTACTTGATCGATTGAGCCCATTATATAAATCACGGTTGGCTCATTTGATTTTATTGATTCAATATTCAATGTGTTTCGGAACACTAATATATGGCTTGTTGTTTTTAAAATAATCACAACTGTGTTTTACGAATGGGACATTTATTAAGAGGTAACATCCGATGAGATTATGTCATTCCGCTTACGTTGTGATGGGATATTGAATGACCGAGATCAAACGCATCAACGATAATGTATCTGTTGAGCCAATTTTCGATCAATTATGAAATTTCGGCAAGATACTTAGTAGTAGCATTATATGATAGGCTAATTGTTGACCTTGTATTGGTATCGATTCACGACAATTTACAATAGTTGTTTTGAATTATCCAAGTTGTTTATTAGAAATAGAAATAAGGTTTTTTGTCTGGTAGATGAAGCATTCAAACTGGGAATCTAGTTGAAAAAATACGAGTTTACTTTTTCTTATGTAACAGGTTATGCTCGTCAGATAACGTGAGCTCTTTTGAAACACATCTCTGTTCATTACCCTACCTGGAGATTAAAAGAACTGCATAAGTCAGACAATAGCTCAATTCTAGAAGATCTCGTAAATTGTGGTTACATTGTATGACCAGAATCCTTCAAAATCATCCATATAGTCAATAGAGTTGATTTAAGGAAAATGAAAATGAAACACCAACAACAGAGGCTCTGGCTATTCATCAATTCAAGTTTAATCTTTGTACACAAAAATAATATGTTCACTTTAGTTTATTTTTCTTTACTAACTTTATATTTCAATAATGCATATTTTTCATGTAATATTGAACTGCATGTCATATTCTCAACTAAACCATGACTGATATAACAAATTAAGGATGGACTCATTGATTTATTCATATTATACTGTGTAGACTAGAGAGAAAATGCTTGAAAATAAGTGTTCACTTAAACTTTGTTTCTAAATGCTTTACAGGAATATTTCGGAAAGAAATGAATTTCGGTTAATTTTGCAGATGGTGAGACAAGCTGAAATTAATCAATTAACTATATGAACGAAACAATTATGTGACATGGCAAGGAAACATTTATTACATTTTTTTTAAATAAAAAAAAGCTAAAACCATTAACAAAATTACACATAACTCGGATTAATTACCTCTGTCTCAGTATTTAGCTTAATTAATTCACTCATTGACAGAGAATCACACCAATTTTTATCATAACGTATAGCCACCACACGAGGAAATCGAAGAGTCATTCCACAAGAATATGAATCACTCTGGATTAACTCAGCTCCATGAAGCTGTAGTCGGTCAAAATAAGCAATAAAATATATTTGAATACAAAAAATAAATGTGGATTAACTTTACTTTATTTACATTTGGGGTTATTTATAAAAATCTTCATGAGAAGCAAATTAGTAGGTTGTATTCGTCACATATTGATCTCACTTGACATACGACTGGAAAGCAAAGAATATTTAACGATTGTTTCGTCCTCGGATGGGGCTTTCAAGGGGTCCAGACGCACGACCCCACCTGAAACCGAACCCAGGATATCCAGGTCTCACAGTGGACGCTTAAGCATTGGAACTACTGGGTCAATGTCCGACATCAATCACTTTATGGACGAGCATTACGATTTTCCGATGCCGCCAGTAACAGCTGTTTCGCTTTCGGAATATCTGAACTCCATTAGTCAAGACTTCTACTAGAAACTCTAAAAATATTTGAAGTCATTAGCGAGTTGCTATTGTGGTTTAGTTAAATGATTTTTTTAGATTTGTAGGTTGTATTTATCACAGACAGTTATCAAGTAACTCATGTTTGTTAATAGAATCCCCAACCGAGATCAGTCCATAACGAATGAAACCTAGAAATTAAACCGACTCTCCACAAAACTACAACTAAATAAATTAGTTTTTTAATATATATAGTGCTAGAAAATTAACAGACTCTCTTGAAGCAAATAAAAGTAGTTCGTTCAAATACAGCAATTTTAAGGTGCCACTTTACGTACGCACTAGACAATGCAATTTTATCTGGGTTTAAACTATTTGTTTGTACTAATAACTAATAACTGCACGCAGTTCAAGTGATCTAAACTGCTGTAAGTTTTGAAGCAGGTCACAAAGAGTTAGTACTATAAACGTTTGGTTCCCAAAGGTTATAGAAAATGAAGTCCCTCATACAGGTATGTGCATTTCTGTTTTGTCGAAATTCTTCAAGTAAGATATTAAAACTAACAGACTTTAATACAAACAGAAAAACAATGAGTAATTATTAACATAGAAGATTGTAAAAAATTTCCAGTTTAAAAGTTTAGAGGAAAACAAAAAACAAATAGTCATTAAGACTGAGTGCAATGATGTTGAAAAAATTGATATCAACCGGAACCGGAATTGTGATACGCCGTGTGATTCTGCTTCAACTCTTCATATCTGAAAGATATGAATTAATGAAGAAAAAGCTTAAATCAAAATGCTTATAAACCAGCCACTTTTAATCTAGTACATCACAGTAAACAAACAGGTTAGATTTTAGTATTCAGTACTAAGTGAAAAATACTTTATGTGACTATCAAATTTATGAATCTGAAGGAATGAAGTATGAGATGAAGTCGATGACTAACCTGTAAAACAAGCGATGATTGTGGAGCTATCCATACATCTGGGCGTTCAGAATTCACACACAACCATTCAGTAGAACTAGAGTTAGGATGTTTCTTATCGTACACCTTCCAATGTTTTCCTAACAACTTGTTGATTTCTTTCAAGTGTTTAACTGTTAGCCCAGATTTAACCTTGTCAAAAAATACATTGAATAAAACTGATAATTGATGGTTAGTTTTTAGTTCTGTTGCCCAGTACTAACCACGAAAAATATTGAAAACCTTACGATGAAGCAATAAAAAGTGAGGCAATATATAACAGTGGACAGATGAAATCAAGAAATGATTGATCAACCAGAAAAAAGATAAACACTCTGAAATGTCTGCTTATGATAATCATATTTTGTTGAGATGGATATATTTATAAACACAAGCTGTAAGAACATTTGTACATCAAAGTAAACTTGCCCGGCTATTTTCTCACCACTTTCAATAACTAGACAAATATTTAAATATAGATTACATCAAGTTCATACATTATTATTGCATCAGCTATCAGAAAACAACAACGAAAGAAAAATATCTTAAATCACAAAATAAGCGTCCAAGTATATGTGTAAATGATATGGATGGAATTGATGGTGAAACAATAACATTAGCACACTGATGAGAAAAAAATACCGCAAGAGTTGAATGATAGTTTTTTCCACAGTAAGGTGAAATGAATACATAAAATTCAATTCGAAAAAGGGATGAATTTTCAGGATAGAAAGAACGCGATAATACCAAATATAAAATTGTAGAGAAAAATACAGAATGAATGCATTTGCGTCGCTGAAACCGATTCTGAGATGCTCCACTAGAGACCTTTAGCTTATCAGCCCGACTATCAAGTAGATCCTAACCAGGGATCTTGCGCGGCTAAATATGGTTTCGAACAGTCATCGAATTCGTCAACTTATTTTAAGCCTTTGCTTGACCATCCTTACATATCTCTCGGCCTTCTATTATGCTAGCCAATATCGCGCTTCGAGGAAGGCACGTTTAAGACATATCGTAACAACATCAGCTCACGCAAGCTCATAACCTCACCAACTGATTCGCCATTTTCATCCAGCAATATATTTCTAAGAGCATCAATCAGGAGAACAATGGTTTGAAGACAATGATGACCAGAAATTATTAATATGCGCACATTACTTCCAAATACCATGTTTCCCAGACATAAATTAATATAGTGTCGACTGCTCGACACGCTCTTTCATAGACAGATGGATATGTTACCATATGGTGTAGCCAATTCAAATGATAGTCTGCTACCAACAACATTCAAGTAAAGTCGTTAGTAGACTTGAATATAATACAACCACAAGAACTCTCAGTAATCGGTACCCCTTCTTTAATGAATATAAACAAAAAGGCCTTATTATCGGATTTTCAAGATAGTTGAATAAACTACGACCACAAAAACTACACACATTTCTTTCTACACTCTTCACACAACAATTTACGTACGGGTCAGATATAAACTAACGGCTAAATATCGTATTATGTATCAATTTTAACTGAAACGATATTGAAATAGGCAGTTGAATTTAATAATAGCTCGTCGTAAGCTTATAATATATATGTGAACAGAATCCAAACAAACACGGTATTCCTAATTAATGTGGGAATTCCAACGAACTGAATTAATTATTTATTTACAGATTTGTTTTTCACTATTGTATTCCTATTTCATGAGGTTTGAATCAGCTCATTTATTAAACCATGGACGCGTTCACATAAGAAAAAGTTATTTACATAAATAATAAAACAATCTTTTTTACAGGTATTCCTTGTTGTGCAGTATATACAACAGTATATATATGAATGTTAATAGTTCCAAGAGGGCTTAATAAAATGAAATACAACTAGAAGACTTTTTTTAATGTGGATGATTTTCAATCATCCTAAACATTTGAACAATTCTGTCGAATCCCAGATGAATAATAGCAATCAATTATAAGAAGTAATGCTAACAGCTTAGTAGTTTACATATAGTGAAACCCAACTGTTAACGATTTGTTTACTATACTCAAACCTGAATTGTGATTTGAATAAATCGACTACTAGATGGTTCTAGCGCATCCTCAAAAAAAGTAGACATGGGGACTAATATACTCTAATCGTTATATAAGGTGTTGAATAACTTAAAAATTTAAAGAGAAAGCGTACCTTGCAAAATGTATAAAACCGTGTTAGATTGAAATTATCTTCTGAAGTAGATTCATCACCCCGAACAGCACATAAAAAATGGTTAACTCTTGTTATTATCTTATTCCCACGATGATGAAAATAACCACCGACAATTATACAATCTAAGTCTTCTAATAAACCCTGTATATAATCTGGTTTAATTTTCCACCAGCCACTATCAGTTCTAATACCAGGTAGATAAGGAGATGGAGAATCAGCTATTTTCACTATAAGACCCTCTTGATGATCATTCACAAGATGATTAAAAGCTCTTGCAACTTCTGTTTGATGTGCTGAGGCAGTATACCATTTGGAAACGTATATAATACCATCTATAATAGGGATTGGTTTGAAATCTAATGATTCACCACTATCCATAAACAAGTCAGTATCCAATGATGTGGAGTTAAAATTAAATGCCTCTGACAGAAGATGTTTACGCTCCAGTAAGGACTTTGAAGTTAATAACTTGAGGGAGTAAAAAAAGGTTATCAAATAATACATAAGATTGAAAATAACTGTTAAACATGTAAAACGGGTAAACAATACCTAGTACCAATAAAAATATATCGTAGTTAACAAAAAGGTAGTTATGATCGAGTTGGAAATTACCAGAACACTCAAATTATACAAGCTTATAACAATTCTCGACGGCCAGAACACCCTAAAGTATGATCATTTGCACTAGTCGAATATACCATGTAAAAAAAGATATTTAAAAATTCCAGGTTGTAGATTCATGGAATAGAACACGATTTCCTCTCATTACGTAAAGAATTACATCACCTGATTCCTTATACTGTAGTGGATAAAGTAAATCCAAATCTGTGACCAATAAATGTAAGGATCGAGTGAGCATAAGTTAACTGAAAGTAATGACTTTATGGTAGCAATATGTCTGTTTAACTATTTGGTGCTATAATGTTCACACACTTTTTTCTTTGTCCAATAAATTCAGAGTTGTCTGTTACTGAAATAGTCACAAACAACAAGCTAAATAGTTGTCGACAAAACTTCTATACAGTGCTGTTAGAGGTATGAGGGCGGTTATCACTTCCCGGTTGCCCACACCGTGGAAGGGTTCTTCTGGAGGTACCTGAAAAGGAAATTGGATTAAAGGTGGTCTTAGTGACCTGAGAGCGTGACCGCAGTGCCCAAGGGACAATTGCTGGAGGTCGGTCACACACGACCTTGTAATGGGTAATTTTTGTGTTAGCTCCGTACTTATTGAGACCTTACCGCCGGAGACGGATATCCGTGGGATAAGGCGAGGTGTGCATTTTTAGGGTCGACCTTTTCTAACCCCACCCCTCCTTGTGGGAAGGCAGCATCGCTGTCATGCTGGTTGTCTGAAGGAAACGCCTTACTGCTGTCACACCTCTGTACAGTCAGCAGTACGACTTGGCCTTCGGACCTTGGGTTTGTTGCTTTTAGTCTTACCGCTTCTCAACCGACCTGTCTGACATGGTAGGACCTTGAGGAACGGTTGTTCCAGCCAGTATAGCTCGGTTGCTTCATCACGATAGGCAAGCCCGACCACAACGTCAAGGTAGCAACAACGGTCAGGCGACAAAACTTCTAACTATTTATGAATAACAAATTAGTAGATCTCCCTATATATGATATTTACTTTTATGCTTAATTCACTGAATGTTATTTATGATATCTAAAATAAGATTTAAAGCCCTGGATATTTGAAATGCTTCTATACAGATGTCCTGAATCTATACAATAGAATTAAAAATAACACATCTGACTGCATTTGATAGCATAATTCGGTGGTTAGGCTTTTCTGTTATTATAATAATTCAAGAGCTGTATCATCAATCGAATTATGATAGATTATGAACTAACAGGTTGCTTAGATGTGTATCGCCTTGAGCACAACTGCAGGAAACTTAAATCACAACGATAATTTCAAACACCTTTCCCCTATGTATAAAGTTGTTTCACATATGCTCATGGATTAGAAATAAATAAAGTTGCACATGACCATGAAAAAGTTATGTACCATTAGTGCAAACTGCCCACTAATTTACTAAAAATCTTAAATCAGTCTGAAGTATTGGCATTATTACGATTAATATGATATACATATGGTAAACATACTTGTGAATTCAAATAAAGTATATCGAAAACGATGAAACACGGTTGATAATTATCGATTTCTGGATTTTGATAAGAACTTCGTTTTACATCGAATTTTGTGGATTTTGACATAATTGACTTTGACCAATTACTAAATATCATCATTTCTCCATCTAGTATGCAATCAGTTACATGCTGTGCAAATCCACAATGTAATTGAGCAGATAATCTGTCAAAATCTCGAGTACCATCTTCACCGTAGCTTGCTGTCCATTCTAAACCATTTCTTGACCAATATCGATAAGAATTACTTGATTTATGAAGCTAATTTCGGGAAGAAAAATTTTTTTAATATCTTTTACTTTTCAATTTAAATCTATCAACAAAAACACAGAAAAAGCACAACAAAAATATGTATCAATAGTCTTAATTCCTACATCTCAACATCAGTAGAAGTAGAGAAGAGGAAATTAATTAGATGTAAATTAGCAAAGAGGATATAATAAAAATTATGATAGAAATCTAAATATGAGAAAAATACAGTGAAAAATGAAAAAAATGAAATAAGAGAATCGAAAACTATGTTGCTAGAGAAAAGCAAGTCATAATTGACAAATTAGAAACTTGTCTATGCTTCTATACTTATGACAAAACACTTATCATCTATAAGTGGATTTATTTATGTTTCATCAATTCATTTCTTTTTGTTTCTAGAATGGACTTTTTCTAATCATCCTATCCATGAAGAGAAACGATGATTAAGAGATTGGGTTTCGATATTTATGGGGAACAATACATCAGAAAACAGCAGACTAAAATGTTACACTACATTAAGAAGGGTATATTATACAATTTTTGAAATTTTTTTAAAAACATAACTTAAAAATCACGAAAACATTATTTAATCAGGATGTGCAAGATTACACTATGTGTACGTTATCAATACTTTCTGATTGTTGAAATTGAAGCAGATTAATGGGCCAAAATCCTTTAAGAAATAGTTGTACGTATCATCACATTAGAAGCTACATGAAAATATATTTATATACTTAGAACGACATATATCATAGTTTGTCACAGTAAAATACATTTTCACTGGTATTCCACAATAAGTAATATAAATATATATATGATTACTAACTTGAACTCGTTCTCCATCAAATTTCGTCTCGAAAAGAAGTTTTAATCCTTTAGTATCACCTTGGTTCTGTTTACCGTACAAATGTAGTGCTGCGTTAACTAGCATATCACCACTATTAGCCCGCTCGCATAACATGGGACGAAATGGAACAAAAAGAGTGACATTGACTGAGTTGCTTAGATCGTTAGCAAGTCCTGTCAACATAGATATGTTGGAAGAAGGTATATTTGCAATTCGTTCACATAGCGGGAGAAGATCCTGGAAAAAATGAAAATAAATAAATCGGTGAAAACTAATTTATCTACAAACAAAATGAATGAAGTTTGACAATTAAAATATCGAACAATACATCTATTAATATATTTTAACATCCTGACATGACAGTCACTGAAGTTAGTAGAACATATCGGTTATGATCAGATCAAAATTAAACAATCATTATAGATTACTAAGTTTATTACCTACAAGACCAACTCACTACCTTAATTTAATATTACTTTGGTTCACAGGTGTTATGGTTTCTCTTAATAAGACCCAACCACTCTTGTTGCTTAGTATTTTTGGACACTACTCCACTTGACAAGTCTCCAAATCAAAACTTTTTCTCAAATAAATGCCTACATTTATAGATAATTTGTAGCTCATCACAGAGCATTACAGTGCCTACAAAAGTAATAAGCCTTAGAACACAGGAAGAGGGATTGATAATTAGCATTAAAAACGATTATGTATACATAACCTTTGTGAAAAGACAAGTTGACAAAATGTCATAGAATATGAATCATCGAGCGCTACACTTACTCATCTAAATAAATAGTTTTCGAATCACTCAACTAATAATAAAAATTCTAACGCATTTACGTAATATTGTTAGATTCATATGATGTAAACGATTCATTGTAAGCTACATTTATTTCGATGTACCAATGATCTAAGCTACAAACCAGAAAAACAGGGTTCCTTCATGTTGTGTTGTACTTTGTCAAACTTGGTTTTAGTTAGTGCGACTGCGTTTTAACAACAGAAAACAGACCATTACCCGAAATCATAAATCTATTAATTATTTAGTGGCCCTTAAATATCATTCCACGTCAGCCAACAAGCCTTATGTTGTGTAACATCTAACCATTTTTCTTTTGTCTTAGTTAAGAAAATATTTCACTGCATTAGAAAAAATGCGATTGTAGTTGGATGGTCAGTTGTTCAGTAAACGTTACAAATCAAAAGATCTAGTCTCGAGGACAATTATTGCTCAGCCACAACGTTGTGGTATCCTGTTGGTGAGTTTTGGTAATTGTATTGTGCTCATAACGGATTGAAACTGGTAGGTTATGACTTAACGTTCAGCTGTACATATTTTACAACATATATTTCTAGATAAAGGTGTGAATGAAAGATAGAAGAAAACATTAATAGCAATAATAATAGGAGACTACAAATTATCAACAAATATTCAACAACTATTTTCATGGACAGTTACGCAGAAAACTAACTTGTGTGACTTCAAAAACAGAGACCGCAGCTGGATGAAAGCATTTGAGAATACTCTTCCCGCTTAGGCAACAACCAGAATCTCGTTTAACAATAAGACGTATAATCCATTTTTGTTCTAAAGCTGTAGTTAACTGTAACAACGATCGCAATACTTGTAAACGCATCTGATATGACTCAGCAGTAGTTAGGTCGTCTAAATGAGCATTCAGATCCTTTATTTTGTAAATAAAAGTTGAGAAATTGTTAGTGCTTATTAAGTGAATCGTTTCTTGGAATGTTATTAGCAATGCAAATACAGATGTTCGGTTTTAGCAAAGTTAACAAAAGAATACAAATCGCGTATTGGAAATCCCGTTCAACTAACAAAGTTAACCTAGTTCAATATACCTTGTAATCTTTTTCACCCATTCAATTAGCTTCACTTAACTAATGATGTGCAGGGAGTCGTGTGAATAGATAGTATTTGCGTGTCAAGTCAAAACGCATTTTAACAAAGCTAAAATGAGATGCCCAAACAACAAAATTACGGACAAATCGACAATCATCGAAAAGAACGTTGAAGAAAATGGACGCCCAAAGAAATTTATCGGGAAATATGGAAAGGAGCATCCTGTACATTATGAACCAACTACTTGTAATAAGCCTATCCCTATCTATATCCTGTTGGAGATGAGATTTCAGGAAGAGCTTAGAGACTAATTAGAGCGGGACTGAAAAGCTTTATTACAGTCCAACTGATTTCACTACAATACCAAACGTCTACTAAGTTACTTTAAGACAGATAAATACTCTTTCGATGTCACTTCTCATAGCATTATTTTTTATTTAAACACATAGACATTGTACATGGAGGTACCTAATAGGTATGCGCCACATAAACCATTCGATTTGTGTGAGAGCTAGAATACTGCCCGGGTGCCCAAATCGAAGTAGGTGGTTTTCTTAGGGGGCTACATCCGGAGCATTTGACCTAAAGGTCTAATCCACAAGGCAGTGGATCAACGTCAGGAGATGCAGTCCCATGGTAGCCGGTGACCAATAATTGGTTCATGCGCCATTTGTTCCTTCAGGCTACTGGAGCCCATGTGCATTATTGGTTTGGAATCAGGGTTTCCCAACTCTTCTAGATGGACTTTTCGTGTCCACCAACCCGGTTAGAGCGCCGGACATTCGCTTTTCGTCCTCTCAATTTCGTAACAAACACCCCCGCGCGAAAAGACGGTGAGTAGGACATCCCTAGTAGTGGTTGTATGCACGTGGACATGTGAGAGCATTTCGGGAGGCAGAGCTGGCTCTCCCCACTCTCGGCTGTACCAGGGCATTTGGGGGGCATACATGAATTTATACATATCTGTGGTGGAAAGTATGTCTAGAAGGACCCAGCGAAAGGCTTCTACCACGTTTCTTGAATACATTCAGAAAAGCCGATGCCTAAGAAGCAGTAAAGCCTTCACATGTGCAATTCCGATGCACTTAATGAAGAGTGGACACGGAGTCAATACCAGTTACGCATCTAAAATGATTAAAAAAACAAACGATATCGATTTTACGCCGCTTTGCTGAGTCAACTGCTATCAAACGCTTCCAAACTGACCTGTGTTAAGAAATAAAGTGATGAAAACATCGTTGACTATGGTAACTATGATTGTGATCAAACAACGTTTTATAACCTTATTTGCCGCTTAACCCCGTTTCTGTCTTGTTATAACTCTCTCTTTCTTACGGTTATGACCCAGCTATTCCTATTGTTTAGTATTCTCGGACACCGATTCACTCGACAAGTCCCCAAATCAAAACACGGTTGAACAGGAAGAGATTATATTCCAAATAACAAGGTTAGATGGAAGTAAGAAGCAAGCCAGAAGCACAATAGGGAAAACGTCAGTATATTCATAGTTTTTGCATAAGAAGATTCCAGAGTATTCTCCAACTATCGACTAGTGCTGATTGGATAAGAATTAGTCAATCAGCGTGCACCAAAGCAATCATGCATTGAGCATGCTCTAGTATATGTCCCGCTACCATGTCTGTTACATAATCTTATTGATGCTCACATATTAATTTGAGTTGAGTTCTAAAAATGTAATCTTTTTCTCACAAGTGATTATTATCCGTAATATTATCCCCTTATTCAGTACTATTATTATTGATATTTTTAACATAAATACGCACCAATTCTAACTATATATTCCGTAAACCGTTCTTTTCATGAGTTTTGGTTTCTCATAAGAAACACAAATCTAAATTTCACTGACTAAAGTATGTTAAATCTTTATTTGTAATTACGGTGTTTGTTGTAATTTTAGGCCGCTTGGATCTGATGGGTCATGAAATAGAATTGGTTTATTGTATTCCGCAAACCTTTTTGCTCTCTAACTGTTAAAACTACTTATTCTGTTGATCGATTGACAAAATATTAAAATACAACCTTGAAGAAATAAATCTAATGTCAGAACCCCTTGAACTCCAATTACCACGACGCGCAACGCTGATTAGTGTTGGTGAAGGTCGGAAGAAAGTTAGGGGTGGCCAAGCCAAAACGTGACATCAGTGCTTGAAGTCACTAACTTCTAGTCTTAGCCATGTTGGAAGATGCAGACTATCTGGTTGAGATTCGTGTGACTAATGGTTGGGGACTCTAGGTGACATGGCTCAGAATCGATCACAATGGCATCGGTGTATACACTCTCTCTCTTCCCTTAAACTATGAGATTAAAATCGCTTCATATCTTTCTTTCTACGAACTAATTCTTTCTTCCTATACTATATCCTTATATGCAATCCTTCTTTTATATATTACCACCATTGAATTAACTACTTCTATGGATCTGATGTTCATCTTGATGTGCTAATGAGGTATGGCAACCTGGACCGATGCATATGCGTGCCTGGTCCTGCGTTGTAGTTGACTGACTGACAGATCTCCCTCCTTCGGACCATAACACTAATACACCAATTAATATCGACGAATTGTACACCACAAATAATGTCACTTTTTCCCTCCATTTTCTTGCTTATTTTCTCTAACAAGGATTAGGTATCTAGAAACTCTACCATTTCCCCAACATGAAATATTTATCGGTTATTTTACAGGAACTAGGTACAATCAATTTTGATAGTTAAACAAGTTAAAGTGCTTACAACTGAGTCGAATTGTATACAGATTTCAACAGTTTAGGTTATCACAATTTAAAACAGAACAGAAGAAATTCAGAATATATTCAGAGATAGTAAAGTAAAAACTGACAAGTGAGTTGTTAAAAAAAAACACCCAAAATTTGTGAACGCGTTTAGTTAGTGTTATCTCTTTTAAACCATGCCATCACAATTCATCAACCACTGATCATCAACAAATATAAGACCCAACTTAGCCTGCAACCCTATGCACAACTCAAACCAAGAAAACAGTTACCATGAATTAATGTGCAGTCTCAGCCTATTCGTAACTTTTTAATATCGTAATGCTACTCCAATGAGTATCCCGTTACGAGGCAAGACATTGCTCCACATATGTTCACACAAACAAAAACTGCTGTTATTTTAATCTAATTTCATCAAAAAAAATATTTTACAAGACCAGACAGCCATTGAAAGCACATGCTCTTAATGTCGCGCTAACTAAACTACAGAGCGTCTAAGTACGTAATATTAACTTTTAAAAAAAACTACTCAAAGTTGTTAATTACAAGACATGTACAAATTACAATGAGGATTTTCGCGATATTACTTTTTTTTTAAAACATATGTGTACATAGCATTCACATCAATAAAAATCGACAATTCAGTAAAGACTGTTCCAAAAAAGACTAAATGAGCGTTTGATAATAATAAGCTTCCTCAAGTACGACTAATATATTTCACTAGTTTGGTGAATAACTACAGACAGACTTATAATTCTTAGGAAAGCCTATATTGCATTTTATAGGTGTATGCAACATAAATCACTAATATTAAAGTCAATATTTGGCAAATCTTGTGCAAAACAAGACGGTCTGATCAAACGTCTTAGGGTTGATTTCAAGCTAGTTAGTTGGATTCCATACATCTATGATACACGTGAATGAACGCTAAACAATCCCGAACGATGAAGAACACTTTTTGACTGACTCCTAGTTCATCGAGTTACGTTTATCATTTTAGAACCTTCTGAATTACCAAATTAATCTGAATATTCTTAATACAAACATTGGTGGCTATTATGTTTCAGATAACTCAATCAACTGTGTTGGAGAAGTGTCAAGATATAAACTGAGATGCTGAGAATGTAATACGTTTCGGCAACCAATGAACAGATTGAATAAAGGAATAAGTTGAAATCATACTTATTTACATACCTTGACAGACAAAACACTGTCCTCACGACTTCGAGCTTTGAGCACTGTATATGCTACATCGGCAAAATCAGTCTGTCGATGGATAATATTAGGATGAATATGTGAAAGTTTACGAGCAGCCAAACTGTTTGGGGCAAGTCCAATAGCTTTAATTATTAGTCTTGATAGTGTTTGTTCACGTAATCCGAAAGCTTTCCTTGATCTATCATGAGAAGGAATCAACAAACGTAAGAGTAAATAAAGACTAGCTCGACCACCACACGGATACTGACTTATTGAGTCTAATGCAAGATACTGGGTCTCCCATAAAATTATAAATTTGGACAAAATTTTTTCTTTCGTCTTGATCCCATCACTTGATGCTAGCTTTTCTAATAGACGGCAATAAGTTGTGAATGAAACATTTTTTGCAATACGTGAACTTTCGAAAATTACATCCATGTAAGGATTTAACCAGTACCAATATAGATCAATATTTCACTGCTTTCCAAAAGTCGATGAGCCTATGATATACATAAGGTAAATAAAAAACGAGATAAAATGACTGGACAGGCAAATACTACGAAATACAATAGTTATTACGACGATCAACGATCCAAAAATTCTTAACGGAAAAAAGTAAATGACTGGATACTTGAGGCTACCCAAATGAGACGTTAATCAAAAGTTCATAGATAATTACGGTAGCCACTAAATACCACAGATAAGAAACTATAAAACCACAAAATAATGGTGAAATTAAGCCAACATGATTTCTAAAAAATACTTGATTCTGTTGACACCATAGGTAACTTTACGTGAACCCACCCAGTATCTCAGATATTCACGTTCAAACAACAGTGACAAATCATTTGATATATTGAACCTATCAGGTCCAGTGGTTTAGATGAATGATACAAACGCTAACAGGTTTTACTGTAGCAATGATGATGACATTTAAAATATCACTAAATCAATAAAAATCTCCAAACAGCTGGGGGGACAAAATCACCAATCTATCTTTTGAATTGGATATAGGAATTCGGCAAATAATCATCGACTAGCCCATCTTATCAGTAAATATGTTGAAGTACTGGAAAAGATTATTTGTGCTGTGAAAGGAGATGATCATTTAGCCAGAAGACAACAAACTTCTAGAATGAGCCGCTCTTGTTTTATAAATCGTATCCCAATAACGTGGGCTGCAGATGAAGATATAAGTACACCTGTTTACATACTGATTAAGGATATCAGCTAGAGAATATGCAGGTGCATTTGCAGTTTTGGAACCAAATAAAAGACTAAATAGTATATGAAACACTTCATTAGTCGTGCAAATCAAAAGGTGGGGATATATGGCAACCTATCTTCATGGGGTCCAGGTATGAGTCATGTACCTCAAGATATGATTCAAGGTTTCCGTTTACTCTACTTTACAAAATAATCTAATTTAATTTTTGTTAATTATCTTAATGTGTGGATAAACATATGCAATGGTGACGGAGTAGGGCTACGACTTTTTTTGTATGCACTAGTTAAGTGTACAAATGGTTGTGAATGGGAGTGAGCACTAGTAGGGTTGTAATTCTTATTGGTTATGAAGGCTTTCAACATAGCATGGTTAAAGGAAACTGTATGACCAAGATTACAAAGTGCAAAGATCAAGAGTTTACGGTAATACATAACCTCAGAATCACAGTTATCTACGAAGTTAAAATTGCCAAAGGTCTTGTAGTCGCATGGTTGCTTGTCAGAGATTTTAGCGCCTGAACTAGGACATGCTTCGGATTTTTCACGCAGCTCATGTAACTGTGAGTAGTTGAGTCATTTCTTTTACGCAAAAGGGTGGGAATTAAAATTATACGAATCACTTAGAAAGTAGGTAAACAGGATATGAAGACACATTACAAACAAATAACATCTCAGTCTTTCATTAACAGGTGTGGAGGGATTTTAATCCCTATACCGGCATAAGGTTGACAATTACACGGCAGTGAACACCGGCACGGTTTAAACGTTAGGTCCGTTCGAAATGTGCCCGCCCTTTCGTCTCAACGACCTTGAACGGCTTGATCAGAGGCGGTCATTCCGTATTTCAATTGCCGTGGGATGTTTGGATTGCATGAGTATCACGTTTTTTCATATATAAGTCATCTTATGCTACATAAAAAAGCACGAAATAAATACCAAAACCATTAATTTAACGTTCTCTGTTTTGTTGTGTACACTTTGGCTCTGTTGTTGCTTTGTAATATGATCTTTGATCCCAACAACTGTAGTAATGCTCAACGAAATGTCAAGTCACAGGTAAATCCTAAGTATTTGTAGTATTTCCTTGGGTTATTATTGTTCCAAGTAATAACTTTTTAATAATTAGTCATGTCTGTTTTTAGTGCTTCATGATCAAGTGACATTTCAGTCGACCTAACCGATGCCTTTCGAAGTATGATACTGAACAAGCGTTTCGTGTTGTGGGATGATTTTGAAAGCGCCTTAAAAGAGTTCCAAAAATTATGGAATTATAATTTTATCGCTTCTTAGACTACTTATAATCGTTACATTCACACAGAAAGCAGATTGCTGAAGAATGTCAGGCAGCATCGGCTGAAAACTGGGAAATTGTCTCATGGGCTTCAGAACAAGATGCATGGACTTGTTCCAGGCAAATGTGCAATCGGGCAACTCAACCGTACATACATTGGACTGTCTCAAAAAAGAAGCACGGTCATTCCAAGATAGGACAGGAAATTCGAAATTTACTAAGACAGTCCGTTCTGCTCTACTTTACGGCAGCGAAACATGGCCATTAAGAGTAGAAGACACTCGTAAGCTATTGGTATTTGACCACAGATGCCTTAAAAATATTGCTGGGATCACCGGGTAAGCAATAGTGAGGTTAGACACAGGGTATTAAGGAATTATGGTAAATCAGTTGATGAGGTTGTGAGTCTTTATCGACTGAGATGGTTGAGCCTCGTGTTACGTATGCCTGAACACCGATTACCACGTCGTGCAATACTAACAGGTGTTAGAGATGGTTGGAAAAGAAATAGGGGCGGCCAAACCAAAACGTGGCATCAGTGCTTGAAGACACTAACCTCTAGTCTAAGCCATGTTAGTAGATGCAGACTACTTGGTGACATGGCTCAGAATCGATTACAATGGCGTCGGTGTATACACTCCCTGTCTTCCCTTAAACTATGAGAATAAAATCACTTCATATCTTTCTTCCTACGAACCAGTTCTTCCTTCTTGTACTATATCTCTATATGCAATCTTTCTCTTATATATTACCACCTTTGACCTAACCACTGCTGTTGTGTTAATGAAGTATGGCAAGCTGGACCGATGCACATATGACTAAGACAAAAGAAGAAATGCTGCTATCAGCCTTAGAACAGTAGGTAGGATGAAACGCTACAGATCGGTAGAAAACATGTATTGGCACAATCTGCGCTCAAGCAGTCCAAGAGAATATTCTCCTACATAAACTACAGAACAAGGATGTATCATTGGATTCCCAACCCAAATAAAGAAGGGAGTGGATCTGAAATGATAGAGGAAGATCAAGAAAGTGCAGAGGCTATGGCTGACTATTTTGGGGCAGTTTTGACTAAGTAAGCTCCTCCAGACAAGAAACCAGACCCAAATACAGAGTCAACAAACCACCTGCTCACTGTGGACTTCGGTCAAGACTATGTACTTAAGGCTCTTGACAGTTTAGACATGGAAAAGTCAACAGGACCAGATGGACTACACCCCAAAATCTTGAGACATATTGCACAATATATCGCGGCCCCACTGACTGTAATATTCAACATGTCTCTTGACAAAGGTGTGTTATCTATAGACTGGAAGGACGCAATCGTCACTCCTATACATAAAACAGGACCAAGACGACTTCCATCGAACTACAAACTTGTAAGCGTCACCAGTGTTGTAGTTAAAATATTGGAAAAAATATTCAAACGGACCTTAATGACATTTGTGGAAACCAATAACTTGCTAAACATAGAACATAGTCATGGGAAGGGTTTATCTTGTACAACGAACCTCTTTTTAGCAAGAGAGTTTTGGATGAAGGCGCTAGACAACGAGAACTCAGTGGATGTTGTTTACATAGACTTCAGTAAGGCATTTGACAAGACTGTTACTGAAGTTAAAAAATCTTGGAATTCACGGACCTCTTTTAAAATGGCTTACGGATTTCCTAGTAATTTGTGATCAGAAGGTAAGGATAGATTACATGTGCTCCACCTGGAAAAAAGTAGTTAGTGGAGTGACTCAAGGTTCCATCCTAGGTCCTTTACTTTTTATACTGCATATAAATGATCTCCTGAATACAGTACGTTCCCCCAGTGTCATTATACGCTGACGATGTAAAACTGGCGAGTAATAACCACAGACGCAGATTCACTTCAAGCAGACTTAAATAATGTGATTAAATGGTCTAAAAAGTGGCTGACGCCTATCAACGCAGCAAAGTATGTCCATATGCATTTTGAGGATACGAAAGTTAATAGGTACAGCATGGGGGAAGTGCCAGTACCAGTGGTCCCGTCCCGTAAGGATCTTAGGGTCACAGCAAGTCATGATCTTTAGATGCAGGCCCATCGCCAGGAGGTTGCAGCTAAGGGGTTTAGAACCTTCTGAGCTTTAAAACGGACATTCACTAGGTTAGATACTACCATGTTCACCACAGTATACATAAACATGGTGAGGAATAAGCTCAAGAACTGCGTTCAGACTGCAATCCCTTGTTCAAAAAGTGACTCAGATATCCTTGGAAAAGTAAAGAGAGCAGCTACCCATGCAATTCCAGAACTTCGGGGTTTACCATACAGAAGGCGGTCGGAAAACCTGGTCCTCTTTACTCTGTCCTATTGAAGACTAAGTGAGATCTAATTTTGATGTACAGAATACTAAAAAATGGTTTTGAACGTAACATATTCTCTCTTTTACTTCTCACTAGATCGGGACATCTCAGAGGACATAGCAGGAAAGTAGAAAAGCCAAGAACGAACAAAATACTCGTGGCATACAGGTTTTCACACCGAGTCGTCAATACTTGGAACCTGTTACCCGAAGCGGTGGTGTCCGCACCTTCAATTGACCCTCTCTAGAGAAGACTGGATATTCACAGAAGCATACTGGAAAAGGAATAACATGTAGCGTGCTGCAGAGTAGCGTTTGGTTATGAACACCACTACAAGAAGACTACGTGCCAGTTAACCGATAAAACCCCCCGTAAGCCAAATTTCAGAAGGCAGTAGTCGAGATATATCTGTTGGCGATCTTGTGGTATCGAAAGGATACCGAGATTGTGCCAAAGGAGCAAAGTGTGGTTACTGAGCGCAAACAAATCCGTGCAAGTCACAATCAATCGAAGGATAAGAAGGCCGTCTTTAGCACAGTTAAACATTCATTGGTACAACTGGTTATAATAATGATTGTTTCCATTAAACCCATCGCGTTTTCTTGATAAAAGTAGGTAACTACAAACATAGGCCTTCTGTTCATACTACACAAATCTGAACCTCAGTTACAGGGTTTAAAGTCAATTTCTACAAGTGAATTTGTAGGTTGATTTCAGAAAATTATATTTCATTTCGATTCGAATTGTTTTCACTGACAATACATGTTTTAACAATGGAAGTATTAACTTTTTACATGTACATTCACGTTTTAAAATGTTAGGAAATGAGAAATTACGGGTGACTCTTGATTGTATTGTCGATCCATGAAGCCTTTTTTAAAGTTTACACAAGTCGAATTCTTTAGATTAAAAATGAGTACTTCATTTGGTGATTACCAAGGTGTCAGGAAAAATACAAAAGTTATCATTAGATTTTGATATATTGCATGTTTTGTTACTGATATACTATCGTCTTCCTTTGAAACACGAACTGATCATAGCCAAACAGCTGTAGATCAAAAGAGTAAATGATCTGTGTTTAATGATTGGGGGCCTACTCGAGACTCAGTGAATAACACGGTGGTGTTTGAAGCGAACGGTAATAGGTTCGAGTTCAGGAGTGAGCATCAACACTGGGATACAGACACAACCAGCTGACGAGTCCTAAGTAAGGCAAAACGCGCGTCCTAAATTCTACTACTGCAAGTAAATGTCTAACTAATAAATAAAAGTCTCAAACGTTTTCGTAATGCATATGATCATTTATCAACAACAAGAATCTATACACTAACTTAATTCATCTTCTCTAAAATTTACGAAAGTTTCGTTAAGTATTTTTAGCTGTGCATCACCTTAACACATCTAAGCAAAATGTAGAAACATTTTATTGGCTTGTAGTATTTACAGTACAGTTTCAAGTGTCAAACTCTATTAATGATCGAATGCAGTATGGCCAGAGGGAGGTTGATCATGGTCTTCAGAGCTGATAGCACTTCTCTCCCTCTAAATGCAAGTTGTTGCTTCAGAACTGATCTGTGTCAACACCTGAACTAAGGATATGGAGTGAAGAAGTCGAACGCGTTGACAACTTCACTTATCTTGGAAGTCTGATCAGCCCTAATGGGTTGGTGTCTGACGAAATATCATATGAAATAAGAAACTTGAATCTTATTGATTTGTTAAAAAAAGGAATAAAAAAAGATTGATGACTGCATATCAGTACTATTAATAAATACTGTTAAACGATGTCATAATGACTGATAATAATAATAATAATAATAATAAGTATAAAAATATTTTTAATATTAAGCACATTGATAAATCATGATAGATCTATCATCTCCTACAGATATAATATTATTTCCTTGAGGACTATAACGAGCGCACCATACCTAAAACAAATATAAATAAGAATAAAATACGATACAATTCAATAACCAAAAAAGAAAATTCTACAAATTGCATAAGATCAAAAAGAAAAAGAACATGATTTTCGATAACCAATTTTATATTGTTTACTGATTTGTATCATAATATATACTGAAATCCCTAGATTAACATTTTTGTTCTTCTAACATATGAAGATGATATTGATATTTACAATATAAGACTTGAAAAAAACTACCAACGTGATGAATATGATTGGAAGCTATTTGAAGGTAGTAGATAGATAAAACTAATGAAGTGTAAGTAAAACATTTGATTTTTTCCAAGAACAAACTCATTTAACCAGTCGAAATGAATGAAGTACATACAGAATAGTGAATATTTCTGAATTGATAAATTGTTGAAATAGACAAATATTTACTTGTAAATGCAGTATAATAGTAAATTAACTTAATTGAATTAAATGTTTTATTTAATGGTGAATAGGCTTTAAAATCAATGAGTGTATTCTTGACTTGTAAATTAATAGATTAAAAATCTTAATGGTTTAAAAACATTAGAATATGAAGAAGAATAGTAATAAGTATTCAACGTCAATCAGTTCTGATTAACGTACACCTTGGCAAACATGTGCATTGTGTTAAGTTGCCACACCGAATTAGTACGACAAACTACCAAACAAACCGAAATAATCTAGCAGTAATCATCTTGAGAAAAAATAAAGATTGAGAATATGGTTTGAAAAAAACACAGTGAAAAGCTATGCATGCAAAAACACTGGAACTCAGGATCGAGAGGAGGGTAAAGAGTTAATCCATCTGTGGACATGTGTCCGATTATGAGCCATATCACTCAATGTCTCCAATAACTCAATGCGATTATTGCATGTACACTTTGTTGATGAGCGTCAACTAGTATGAAACCTAGGACCATGGTTACCTACTAACTAATTTCAATCATCTACAATCAAAACATACTGCATGCAATGTTAACTTATTTAGGCTTGTGACCACATTACAAGATGATCGTTACAATTTGATCAGTACTAAAAACGAAACAAACATGACGCTGGTCACCATTTAATGTGAATATACGTGGTCTATACATTTGAAAATTTGATTAGTTATTATGGTTCTATTGGATATAACCAAATATATATATATATATATATATATATATATATATATATATATATATATATTGCTTCTTTGGTTGTACGAATTTCGGTTTGCCTTAATGGATTATATCAAATAGAATCCATGTTTATTTTACGTTAGTCTGAACATATAAGTACAGCTGATTTATAAGCCTTAATCTAACTTAGTAGCAATACAATGAAAAGCCAAATAAAATGGACTTACCTGATCTTCATGTGTATTAAAACAATGTTTTTCTTCTTTTGATGCCAAATCCCAGATTCGAACAGAACAATCAGTGGATGCTGTGACAAGATGTCGATTATCTGAAGCGAAATCTACTGATACAACCCATCCTTTATGACCATTTAAACTAGGGATAACCAGTCGACCATCGCGCCTAAAATAATTAATAGATGACAGGGATTTTGTGTAAAAGATCGAGATACAATTCTTAATTTAAATTGACTACACCCTTATACAGACTACATTGTGTGCATAATTAAATAAAAAATAACATGTATTTTGTTTGAATATACAAGAATATAAACCTTTTACGAATAATGGTTATAACAGGAATAAGTCTGGTAATGACATCACAGAGACTAAAGACATGGACAGCAATAGTTGGAATTTGGAAAACGTAACTATTTCATTCGCAATCAACAAAATCCAATTTACTGATAGACATAAAGACAATATAAACATTTTGAAGTGCCATTTCTCAGGGCGACTCGCGACGTATGCATAACATTGTGGATATTATTAACTACGAAACGTAAAAATTAAATATAATGTATGAACAACTAGGTCAAGGACTAGAAAGTATAAACTACCGATTTAGACTTGAGTAACTGTGTACCACACCATTAGCTTGCACTAATTAAGTATAGTGTATAAATATCCTCTATATTGTTATTTGTCAATTCTTGTCAACACAACGAGGCTAGTATACTACTAAATTTCTGAAATGATATATACAAATATATCTATATGACTGAATCATAATGAGAAAACCAACAATTCTGGGGAGATAAACATGAACAATACGGAAATAGATTCATAAATAACGAACAATAGCGAGTGATAATATTTTAAAGATTTGTAAAATATAAAGAATGGATGTGTGAATCATTGTGATTGACTATACATCATATAGAAAACTCTAATTAGGGAGCTTGGATCTTCAAACACGACTTAGATCAACATTGAATAATTTTATGGATCGATGGTATGTTTATGTTTGGTCAAATGTAGATCATTTTTCATTTTAATTCCGATGCAGTTAGAATATAATGTGACAGATAACTTAATTCTCCTAATGAAAACAAGTTAATAGTCTCACTGACTGATTCAACCCAACTACATACAGTTTATATCTAACCACAATACCGATTATTTGATCATTCTAAGAGAAATGACTGCTGATTTTAATTGTTCAACCTTAACAATTATGTTTTATAACACATCGTACTCGTTTATTGGTAAGGAGCCAAAAATAAATATGGTGCCACAGACCGCCTAGATTAAAAACTCAAACAATCTATATCAAAATATCTGTGACTAGCTAGTTCCCGACCGTTGTTGCCACCTTGACGTGGTGGTCGAGCTTGCCTATCGTGATGAAGCAACCGAGCTATATTGGCTGGAACAACCGTTCCCCCAAGGTCCTACCATGTCAGACAGGTTGGTTGAAGAGCGGTAAGACTAAAAGCAACAAACCCAAAGGCGAAGTCATACTGCTGACTGTACAGAGGTGTGACAGCAGTAAGGTGTGTCCTACAGACAACCAGCATGACAGCGATGCTGCTTTCCCACAAGGAGAGGTGGGGTTAGGGAAGGTCGACCCTAAAAATGCACACCTCACCTTACCTCACGGATTTCCGTCTCCGGCGGTAAGGCCCTTTGAAGAACGGAGCTAACACGTCAAAAACCTCCCACGAAAAGGCCGTGCGCGACCAGCCTCAAGCAGTTGTCCCTTGGGCACTGCGGTCACGCTCTCAGGTCACTAAGACCACCTTTAATCCAATTTCCTTTTCAGGTACCTCCAGAACAACCCTTCCTCGGTGTGGGCAACCATGAAGTGAAAACCGCCCTCATACCTCTAACAGCACTCAAGACCACTGTATTCATAATCAACTTCCCTCTTCGATTCCTATTATTCCTCCCACATCGACTTTCAACTCTAAACTCCCTCTTTCGGCTTCCCCCCTCAAGTGTCACCATAGCTGACGATTCTAGTGCTCAAAACTCTGTCCCAGGTCTACTGAAACCTAGCTCCAAACTACACATTGAAGCCTTCAATGTACGCAGCCTATGTCAAATCGGTCAACAGGCTTCCTTGGCTAGAACCCTAGAATCTCTTTCCATTGATGTATGCTGTGTCTCCGAAACACGCATACAGGATTCCAGTGTAGTCATTCACTTGACCTCACCTCGGCAAAACGGAGAGCCAGCGAGATACACTCTCCGTGTATCTGGTGACCCGACGGCCAGCTCTAGTGGACTGGCAGGAATAGGGATAGCACTAAGCATGAGGGCGAAACAAGCACTGTTAGAATGGATCCCCGTTAACAGTCGTCAATGTGCTGTTCGGATAAACGGCTCCGTAAGAACTCGGAAGGATAGGGATACACGTCGTTGCCTTTTCGTCGTTTCCGCCTACGCTCCCACCGACTGCAGCTCAGATGAAGTGAAAGATGAATTTTACAGAAAGCTATCTAAACTTCTTCAGAAAGCTAAACGTTCAGACATAGTACTCGTAGGGGGTGACTTTAATGCTCAGATAGGTAGTTTAAACCAAACAGAAAGACATTTAGGTGGGTATTTTAGTATTCCGGCACAACGAACAGATAATGGTGATCGTCTGCTGCAACTGCGCTCAGACAATCGTTTATTTTTAGCAAACACAAATTTTAAGCATAAGGAGAGACATCGTCTAACATGGCGACCTCCTACACCAAACCAACGATGGACTCAAATAGACCATATTGCCATCAGTCATCGTTGGAGAGGGTCGGTAGAAGATTGTCGCTCATCCTGGAGTACCTTCTTGGACTCCGACCACGCCCTAATACGGGCACGCATCTGCTTGCGCCTCATTAGACGCAAAAAAGCCACAGTAAAAAGACCCATTAGAACTGAATTGAGTAGCGAGAAAACCAAAAGTAGTTTCCAGGAACAACTGAGGTCACACTTAGGTAGTTCTGAAAACGAGGCTGACCCAGATGTTGCTTGGAAAGCTATACAAACAGCTGTGGAAACAGCAGTGATATCTATCGGTAATTTAAACCAAAGGGTTACAAGGAACCAATGGATTTCCTCTAGGTCTATTGCACTGATGGATTCTCGTAAACTCATCCCATCAGGCTCTGAACACGATGAAGAGCGAAAACAAATCAGATCTAGGTTAGGCAAAAGTCTAAGGAACGACCGTGAGCAGCGGTGGGCAACGAAAGCAAAAGAGAAGGAAAAGGCGGCGGCTATAGGGAACTTCTAGTCTGAGCCATGTTGGTAGATGCACACTACTTGGTTGGGGTCCGTGTGACTATCGTAACCAATGGTTGGAGACTCTTGGTGACATGGCTCAGAATCGATCACAATGGCGTCGGTGTATACACTCTCTATCCTCCCTTAAACTAAGAGATTAAAATCGCTTCATATCTTTCTTTCTACAAACCAATTCTTTCTTCCTGTACTATATCCTTATTGCAATCTTTCTTTTATATATTACCACCTCTGAATTAACTACTTTTATGAATCCGGTGTCCATCTTGTTGTGTTAATGAGGTATGGCAACTTGGACCGATGCATATATGTGCCTGGTCCTACGTTGTAGCTGACTGACTGATTAGCTAGTTAGTGCTTCTGCAGAGATTTGAACAATTAAAACAGGCTATATTCTTCACGATTTTGCTTCTATTCACAGAAATGTCAGTGAAGATCATTTATGGAGAGTACCCATATATTTGCGAGAATCATACTAGAAATTTGTTGACTTTTATCTAAAGCAAATAGATTATGCATTTTATTAGCGTGTGTAACCCATAGAACTTTCCTGCATCAAAACTTTAGGTCCATCAAAAGGTCTGAAGGCAGGAGGTAAATGAAAAATCGTGTTAACTACGTAATCGTATCAATGAAATAAGTAAATAACAGAAGCAATAGACATCTCTGAGAGATACCACATGTAGTTACCTTATACAACAAACTCAAGTAATTAGTAATGGGACTTGGTGAGTTCAATTTTTCTTTTAAGGACTATTAGACATTTAGTCCTCCTTTAAAAAGCTAAACATATGGCGTCACTTTAAAGTGAAGGGAGTGGACAAGTTCAGGGGTTTGATATGCATGACTCAGTCAGTCGGACAGCGCACAAACGACTGTCTACTGGGATCCAGTCTAAGAGAGCATATTCCGCCCTAGGACTCAATGCTATACCTACGCCGGCTAGGCCACGGGAAGCAGAATCAGGGCTTCCAGATACACGAAGTGTGAATCGAGTTGGTTCTTTATTTTAACATGATGAAGTCAAATGAATGACGCTACTCGGATCCTGTATGCGCGTTTCGGAGACGCAGCACACATCGATGGCGCAAGATTCTTAAGTTCTAGCTAAGGAAGCCTGTTGTCCTATTTGCCACAGTGTTCGGACGTTGAAAGCTCCTACATGTAGTTTAGAGCATGGTTTCAGGAGACCAGGAATAACGTTCCGCATACTCGAATCGTTTGCCCTAGCGGTGCGAGGTGATAAACGGATGTGGGAAGGGTTAGTCGGGGAGATAAGAGTGGTATTAAGAGGAGTAGGAAGGATTTGAATGTGACCAACTTGGTCTCATGTGTTGTTACGGGTATGAGGGCTGATATCACTTCCCGGCTGCCCACACCGTGGAAGGGTATTTCTCGAGGAACCTGAAAAGGAATCCGGATTAATGTCGGCTTTAAGGACCTAGGAGCGTGACCGCAGAGCCCAAGGGACAACTGCTTGAGGTCGGTTGCGCACGGCTTTTTCATGGGAGGTTTTTAATGTGTTAGCTCCGTTCTTCAAAGGGCCTTACCGCCGGAGACGGAAATCCGTGAGGTAAGGTGAGGTGTGACATGTTCGATGTCGACCTTTTCTAACCCCTTCCTTCCTTGTGAGAAGGCAGTGTTACTGCAGATGCTGGTTGTCCGAGGGAAACACCTTACTGCTGTCACATCCCTCTACAGTCAGCAGTACGACTTCGCCCTCAGACCTTGAGTTGCTGCCTTCAGTCTTACCGTTCTCCAATCGACCTGCCTGGCATGGTAGAACCTACAGGAACATATGTTCCAGCCGATATAGCTCGGTTGGGTCATCACGATAGGCAAGCCCAACCACCGCGTCAAGGCAGCAGCTACGGTTGGGCTAATTATTAATCG